AAAACGACCGTAACTAACGGCTTTAGATCCACTGCCGTTATTTCCTGAACTGCTTCCAAGTCATTCCGATTTTTTACTGACGACATTTGATTGTTGGCCGTTCCTTCGTTAATCACCGTATGCGTTTGCTGATTTCCTGGAGAAGTCAGGGTATGGTTTGAAGATGTTTCACCACCAACTAATGGTCGTGAATGTTCTTCCTCGTGCATTTTTTGACTTTCCGTGGCTTGCTGCTGAGTTTGCGCAGATGGCTCTTGACTTTGCACTGTGGATTGGTGGTTACTTGACGGTTGATCCAATGATGACGCCTGATCAATTGGAATACTCGCATTCCTTGGCACCGACGACTGTAATTAACTTTTTTTTTATCACACGCGATCCTCTACTACTGTCATGTGATCCATTTTACCTTTTCACAAAATCGCGAGCTCAGAAAATGCCATTAGGGTCACGCATGAACCTTTCATTACAATGCGAAATGTTCTATGACTCACCGTAGACGGGGACGGTTCTTCTTCACACATTTTCGGACTCTCTCCTGATTCGCGTCGAGCTTCTGCAGTTCTTTTTGGACATTGCGCCGGAAATTGCTGGTTTTGATGGGATAGATTTAAGGATAACGCCTGATTATTCGGACTACATACGCTTCCTCGCACCCAAAGCTGTAATTAACGTGTCCGATCATTCCGGCTAACGACAAATCGCCTAAAGACACTTCACCTAATGTACACTTTGCCTAATGCGCGTCCGAGAACATTATATCCAAGCATTCAGGACTTATCCGAATCTCTTGACACCACATTCGGAAGTTCTTGGGGTTGTTTACTTCGTAATGTAGTTGTAGAATATTTGTATCTAGAAATTATTTATTTTCTTGGCTTTCTTGGGCATAGATTAAGTACTTCATTTCCTTGGATTTAGATTATATATAACACGTCGAGAGTATTTGTGATCTTCCCTGTATGGTTGATGCTTAGGCCTAGGTTGGGTTTGATGGTTAGGCCCACGCGGAGGTTGATGCTTATGCTTAAGATGAGGTTGTTGCTTAGGCTGGGGCTGATGGTGTTGGTTGGGCTTAGACTATGGTTCATCTCTAGGTTGCGGCCGAACATCCGGTATTGCTGTGGCTAACCGTGAAAAGAAGTTTCATTGGTCAAACATCCGTTAGATGAAGTATCCATCGGACGAAATGTCCATTAGGCGAAATGTCATTAGGCGAAGTGTTATTAGCTGATTTGACCTAGCACCGTATTTAATACGTCTTTTTATCACCTATAATTTTTATCAGATGCGTTCCTCTGTCAATCTCATGTATTTTAAATATCATTAACCTCTTCTACAAAATTGCATTACCAATCGAATGTTTCAGAAAATGCCATCAGAGTCATGCATAAACCAATTATTTCAGTGGTACATATTTAGTAAAATCACATTAATTGATATGGATCATGCTAGATAACAAAAATAAGACTGATTTCAACGAACATACAGGACTGAGCGATATCTTTTGACTTTCAGAAGGCGCCTCGATTGAGTGTATCTCAAGAATTGGACTCACGCCGTCGTATTGCGATTCTGGATCGCTGTTCAATCTGCACCATACATCGTATGCTACATTTGGTTTCACATNCACAGGATCATTGAAGAGGCCTAAAGGATCAGCCAAGTTCGTAAATGAATTCGGAACTGTTCGTCTAGAAGTTCAATCTGCACCATACATCGTATGCTACATTTGGTTTCACA